AACATATCTACGTCGGCGACAGCCGGAAAGAGAAAGCTAAGCTTAGATGGAGCGCACTTCAAAGTGAGCCGTTGGGATTGCTGGGAAACGAACGACTCAGTGAACGAATTTTACATTAATATTCTCAATGAGTTAGCTAGATATTATAAGTTTACGATGTCAGTTATTCCATATTGTGTTGGAAGTTTTGAAACAGCAGTTGCAGACCTCAATGCGGGTAAGCTTGATATAATATGCAGCCTGGCAATCCATCAGTCACGTACAAAACTTGTCCGATTCCTGAAGCCCCTTATGTTTGATGAATTTGTCTTTATAGTAAAATATCCAGAAATTACGTCACAACAAAACCATTCTGTTTTTGCACCGTTCACTGCACAGACCTGGTTAGCACTNTCTTCCCGCTCCTTCTTGATTCTTCCCCATGCGTACGTTTGTGCGTGAGCGTGGTATAGCGATGGTATGCGAGCACATAATAGCGGTGATATATGAGGCTATGGAGATGACACAACCGTACTAGTAGTTAGTAGAGCACGAAGGGTCGTTGTCGTATAGGGTACTACATATATGTACCCGAGGTAACTATCTGATATGGTTAGGGTTAGGGTTAGGGTTAGGCTTANCTACGTTACTCATTACTACATTACTACATTACTACATTACTACATTACTACATTACTACGTTACTACATTACTACATTACTACATTACTACATTACTACGTTACTACGTTACTACATTACTACGTTACTACATTACTACATTACTACGTTACTACGTTACTACATTACTACGTTACTACATTACTACATTACTACGTTACTACGTTACTACATTACTACGTTACTACGTTACTCCATTACTACATTACTACGTTACTACATTACTACATTACTACGTTACTACGTTACTATATTACTACATTACTACATTACTACGTTACTACGTTACTACATTACTACGTTACTACGTTACTACGTTACTACGTTACTACGTTACTACGTTACTACATTGCTACATCATTAGTAGCGATATCGCGACCAGCAACCGCAACAGCAGCAGCGCTGACAGCAGCCGCAATAGCAGCAACAGCGGCGGTTGTTCATCGTGCACTGGGTGAGCAGAATCAGCCGACATCTGCTGCTCAGCTCGCGATGCTGCTGCTGCTGTTGCTGCTGCAAGTTGGCAAACATGCAGACGCTGCGACACTCTAGCTGCCGCGAGCATCCCTCCACTGCGGCCCCGCTGCTTCGGCTATTACGACCGCATCCGCCTGACCGTATATACTGCCGCGCGCATGCACCGTTAGGCCGTCGCCACCTCAGAAAGAAAACGGAGGCGGTACGCGGTCGGCGAGCGAATCTCGGTCAGGTGACGCAGCGCGCGCACCCGTCACATCGCCCTCGGTTATATCTTCTGACGAATCTGATCACGAAACGTGTGTCGCAGCATCGCACCTCGAGTTAACGCTCGCACCATGGTACCGAGCAGGGTTTCTTGCGTGGCTGTACTGGACATCGTATTTCTGGCTTCGACGATGCTCTGCTTTACTGGCGCCGAGTTGACACGATCATCGAGAGAAAGCGCGGGAGTGATGACAAGCAGTGAGATGATGGGAAACGCGAGAGAATCCCGACTTTCGAGTGAGCTTCGCTCGGCGTCCGAGCAAGCATCGCGATACGAACATTCCGAGTCGAGCAGGCGGCCTACGGCTGTCGTACCGAGCATCAACGCCGCCGCCGACGCTGCGACGCACCGCCGATGGGGCGCCTACGGTAACACGTCGACATCGAAGCGTCACGATGTCGTATGGTTAAGTAATCACCGTTACACCGAAGATGTTTCACCAGACTCCGGTAAGACGCTCTCAGACTTATCGACTACTGACTGGTCGCGTGTGGATACGGCAGCGGTGAGCAGTTGGTCCGGCCACGACACGGCAGCAACGGGCGGCTGGTCCCGTGACAATATGGCAGCGGCGGACGGCTGGTCCGGCCCCGACAAGGCAGGAACGGGCGGTTGGCCTGGTGTGGACATGGCAGAGGCGGGAGGGTGGCCCAGTCACGACACGGCAGAAACGGGCGGTTGGCCTGGTGTGGACATGGCAGCGGTGGGTAACTGGCACAGCGTGACGGATGGCCCCGGTGCTGAATATGACAATGACACGGACGACTCGCGGGAACACTGCACTTGCTTGGACACACCGCTTATTGACGAGGCGCACAAGGTGGAGATGCACTGCATGTGTAAGGGCGCGGGCGTGACCTTACACCGCCTGTCGTCTCTCAGGCGTCGCCATCTCGTGCATAGAATGTAAGTCGATTCAAACAAATCTACGTCAGTGCCGTCGTCTGCTGGGGATATGAGAGAACAATCAACGCGTTGGCGTCAGCCGCGATAAGCCAAATTCACGATTTTACAATTTTACGCACTAAAAAGCTAAACGATAATTCAGAATAAATCAGCTACACGATGGTTCAGGCACAACTCCTACGCCGATTGTACTGGGGAGAAGTGAATTTGTACCGTTTGTTCTTTTTAGAATAACAATAATGGATCCCGTTACATTCACGAAACAATAATTTTAATAAGATTCGCGCTAAACGAACATTTAATATAGCTACACAATATCAGGAGTAGATAATAGGGTACCCTATTATCTACTCCTGATAATATAAAAGGTTATTGGCAGGAAGCAAAAATTCGTTACTACTGTTTTGGCAGCCGTAATGATGCCAACTTGATACCATCTTTTGTTCTCGATATTGTTCCCGGGATTATTATTGTTCTATTTAATGTTCCTTTTTTTGGTCATTTTCCTCTTTATTCTCGTTCCCGTTTCCATACTTGTTCATTTTCCGTTCTTTTATCCGTTCCTGTTATAATTTTCGTTCCGTGTTTATGTTTCCATGCCCGTTACGCATTTCCCGTTTCCTCTTCCAGTTCTTATTCCCATTTTAATTGTTGTTCCTGTTCCCGTTCTTGTTCCCCTATCCCTATCCTTCGCATTACCGCTCACGTCTTCATAACTGTCGCCGTTCTTGTTTCTGTTTCCATTCTCCTTTCTATTACCGTTCACGTTTTCGTACATGTTCCGTTTTTGTTCCGTTTCAACTATCCTTCCCATTACCGTTCATCCTTTCTATTACCGTTATAAGTTTTAATACTTGTTTATATTATTGTTGCCATTTCCATTATCCTTCCTATTGTTCCGAACGTTCCCATTCCTATTTCTGATCTTGTTATTAACGGTTATCTTTATGGGGCATGGTGTAATGTTACAGACTGTCTGATGATGTCTAACCAGTCCTTGCGGAATAAGTGTCTGCGACCTAACATTATATATATAATAATAACTAGAGCACTCGGAGAGCACAGACCTCCGCCAAGGCAGCTGAATTCTCTCAATGTGAATTTTTTTTAATTAATTAATTAAGTGGAAAAATTAATTAATTAATTAAATAATTAAATAATTAATTGGATCCGGATTAGTGCGAGCGTGCAGGTGGGGGAGGACTGTGGTTGCCCCTTAGCCTGTGGTTGCGTGTTTGTAAGTCTACAGCCAGCGCACCTAGCGGAAGTGAACTGAAACGTGCATGGTAACACACAAACCAACACTCAAAAACTCGCCGGTGAAAACATAACCCCCGCCATGCCCCTGGCGGAGGTAATAATAATAATTAATAATTGCCTAGGAGACCGAATTACGGGCATTACGATGACGACGCTATATAGCGCAGGATAGCGTCCCTTGGCAAGAAGTCCTGTTGAACGACAGCACAGCTTAGCTGAGACGGCCGCATAGAAATCTTGTTGCTTGATTGCCATAGCTTGGGCTATAGCTAGCCATGGGGTTTGACCTAGCTTGGGTAGAGCAAGGTAGTTTAGTTTTTTAGCCGAAAGGTACTGAGGGTGGTCACAGCCAGAGTTTTTTTGCGTCCTTAGTGGGTTTTTTACGTCCCCATTTGTCTTAGTATTACTGGAGACGGGACCGCCATTTTACGTAGTTATCCGAGCCAGGGAGATTCACAGTCTCCAATGTTGAGAGCCAGGTTTTTACACATTGAGAAAATTCACTGCCCCGGCCGTGGTTTGAACTCACAGCCTTCAGTGGACAGTGTACGAGGCCTAACCACTGGGCCACCGAGGATCTCTTATATATATATATTTATATTTATATATATATATATATATATATATATATATATATATATAATGACGCACACAGTAATACACTGTACAGTATTACAGTGCTTATTAGGTTACTACGTGCAGCTCTGGAACTGTTAGTTTTCTTTCTGACATTTGCCGCTGACACAGATTTCACCACATAATTATAGATTTGGTTGTTATAGTAACATACACATGCAACTGCCGTCATCCCGCTATTTTCCAAACTTTGGCAGAAAAAAATAATTACTTTTACTTTTTTAAATAATGTAAAGTGATTACGTCACCGTAAATAATAAAAGTTTAAAAAAAACTATAATAACTTTTTCACAAAATGTAAGTGATTCGGTTCACTTTTTATGGTTAAATTGCTGCATTATACTTTTTATTTTGCTATTCCGTTTGATGTGAACAAATTAACACTCGTAACTCATACATAGCCCATAGCAAGCATTTAATGTCGTGATCAATAGATCAAATCGCCCAGGTTTTTTGGATTTTTAACTAGTTTAGAAACAATCTTATCAGGTAAGGATCTGATGATACATTTATTCCCGTTAGTATACTCACTTTTCATGTAAAAAAATTGCAACAAACATTTTACAAACATACACTATAGAAAATCCGTGACGTAAGCAATTTACGATAGCTTTAAGAAGTTCGAGTTCTTTGTTTCTTTTCTTCTTGCTGCTGCTACTGCTACTGCTACTGCTGCTGCCGCTGCTACTGCCGCTGCCGCTACTGCTGCTGCTGCTGCTGCTGCTGCTGCTACTACTACTACTACTACTACTACTACTACTACTACTACTACTACTACTACTACTACTACTACTACTACCTACTACTACCACTACTATTAACTTTGGCTTTTTTCGTCCTCTTCTTCTTTTTTTTCTTCTTCTTCGTCTTCTCCTTTTTAGTCATCTCCTGCTTCCTCTTTGATCGCCCCATGCTGTACTTATTTTCGCCCATATGCGGCAACTACCCGGGCGTGAGTTTTCAGAAACCCTAACGCTCATTACCAATGTCATGTGACTCACATAACGATTATATATTCTTTTCGTCTTGTATTTGCTTTTTGTTTGTGTTTCTCTCTGATATACAGTAATCACTCTGGTTTTGACTTGCTAACGAATATGTAGAATACTTAACGCTCATTACCATATTACATGCGTCTTTTAGCGATTCTTTATACTCGCCAATTCATTTTTGCTCTTCACATCATTCGTGCATCAGCTTATTGCGAATTTAATTACTTCTTTATAACAATGGCAAACCAAGGGCAATCTAGCGAGAAAGATTTTCATCAAAAGCAAAATTATTAAAGGAAAGTCTTTGTGGCTTTAAAAATTGGGTTTCATTTGTAAACAGCAAATCGGCCATTGAATTAATTGTTTCAGAACAGATGCCTACGAACGTGTTTCGACTTGTGAGCTTGTGCTCATGAGCAGTAAGGGGGATAAATTGACCATCGACCGACGTAGCGTGAATCTTGACTAAACTAACTCTCTGTGCTGCGCACGAGCGGATATACGTGCAAAATGTAACCGGTTCAGAAATCCCACACTGAACCTTCACACATGACATTCGCGCGACGCGATTCATCAAACGCGAAAACCCACACGATTGTAAATCAGCGTGTATATATATATATATATATATATATATCAAGAGCTTATAGAGTACCATTTATTTTTCGTGCTTGGTCTTGTTCTTGTTCTTGTTCCTATTCCTGTTATTGTTCTTGTTCTTGTACTTGTTCTTGTACTTCTTCTTGTACTCGTTCTTATTCTTAGTCTCTTCTCTGTTTTTTTACTGTTCCTTTTCCTTTTTCTCGTCCCTGTCCTTGTCCTTATTCTTGTCCTTTTCTTTTTTCTTTTCCGTTTCCGTTTCCATTATCTTTTTCTTTTCCTTTTTCTTTCATTGCCATTGTCATTTTCCTTGTTCCTGACATTACCTTTGGGTTTGGTGTTGTACTTGTGCTTAAACTTTATCATGCTCTTGTTCTTGCTCTTATTCTTTTCCTTATCCGTATCCGTGTCTTTGTCTTTGTCCTTGTCCTTGTCCTTGTTCTTCTCCTTGTCCTTGTCCTTGTTCTTGTTTTTGTCCTTGTCCTTGTCCTTGTCCTTGTCCTTGTCCTTGTCCTTGTCCTTGTCCTTGTCCTTGTCTTTGTCCTTGTCCTTCTCCTTGTTCTTGTCCTTGTTCTTGTTCTTGTCCCTGTCTTTGCCATTGTTCTTTACTTTATACTTGTCCCTGTTGCGCTTGCTTTTGCTCTTGTTCTTGTTCTCGTATTTGTTCATGTTCTTACCTCAGTCAACTCTACGTGTATCGCAATTTAATTGCGTATGAATTGCTATCGTGAGCTTTTTATAAACTACCAGGAAGAACACGCCAGAGGGCACAAAACTGCTTGAATGAAAGTCATGGCCCAATTTATTTAACTTAAATTAAAGATAGCTATCGACGGGGATATGTTAAACCATCTAACACAAAAAGAATTGTATGTTATGCTTATTGTATCGTTAGAGTTGTTATGTTACTTTATTGTCTTATTTATTACCTTATTACTTTATATTACATTATTGTTATATATAAGCTCCCATCCGATGAACTATATGAGATGCCCCCTTTATGCTGAACATGTGTTATACAGATGTATTCGGCCTATCTATATACCGTTAGAATCAACGTTTATAGGTAAAAGTGAAAGAAGCGACAGTATCGAATGAGGTTACTGCTGAGTAATGCGCCATCACAATATTTCTTCACCGGGAAGCTTCCAATTGTAAACAGTTTTTTGTGTAAATTACTGAGTTGCGTTCTTGGCGAATCATGCTGGCTTCTTCGCTGTTACTTGTCTATATGTACACATGTGAATTACCCGGTTAAATTAAAAGCAATAATATATTAATATCACATACGTATTTTGCAGAAGGCACAACTATAAAATAGAGTTTGACGTTTAAAACTTGGAAGATGAATATCGGAATTGCTGGGCACGACCGATGGTTGACACTCTTTCACACAGTTTCTCGACCACATTCACATTTGTTACCGTCCCCGATTCCTCATGCGTGGGCGCATGACGTTAACCTAAGTGTAATTACATTGGATGGCAAATCGAACGCACTAAGATAATCGCT